AACACTTTTTAAAAAAAAAAAAAAAAAAAAAAAACGTCTTCCAACCTTTACTGCTGGTAACTCGCCCAGCCTGGTGCTGTCCGATTCACACGACTCTCTTCTTCCCCTCATGTCCTCCCTCCTCCATAATGGCGGTAACGAGATGCCCGGGGATCTACCAGAGCTCTGAGTGAACTGCGTAACGTATTCAGAAGACGTCTTCGGGGGGATCAGCATGTTCAGCCGAGCGTGATCGCTCTGATAGCATCCTTTTCACTGGCAAACGCAGTAGCTCGGCAAAATAGAGCAAACAGCAGAGTCACAGGACTGTAGGTGGAGGAACAGGGTTCAGATGGAGCGGATGGACGGGATACCGGGTCTAAATTATTATTAATCATCAGGAGGAGAGCTGGAATGCAAAAGAGCCGCAGATCAAAACACGCTTTGATGGCAACATCCATGACATTTTGCTGCTTTTATTCTGTATCAAAAGGTCAGAATAGGATGTGATGCTTCCTTTGTGTCCACTGACATTTACTTTGCTTTTCTTTTTTCCAGTTTAGGAATTTAGCTTTGACTATTTAAATGCATTGAGGAAAAACAAAAAGCTAAATTAATGCCTTTATCTGCTGCCTAATCAGGGTTTTTTTTTTTTTAAGTTGCGGATTTATAATCAGAATGTGGGCATAATAGAGGCATTCGCCCGTACTGCAGCGTCAAAACATAAAGCATAAGAAGGAGGAGGACATCTAAAAAGTCCACTGCTGTGCTTCTCCATCTGTTCTGCATTCGGCTTTCGACACATCCGCCACGTCGCCGCGCTAATGAATAGGTGCTGGATCAGCTGTCGGGTATCGATGAAGCCGCAGGGACCGACGCACGCGTTTCCGTCGAGATGGATGCGTCCGCGCAAGCGCGTCGGAGTCGGGCTATAAATTCTTGCGGCTCAGCAAATCCCGAGTCGGACTCGGAAGCGGTGCCCTTCTGTCTGTTTTAGCCGAGGAACATTAACAGAAGGAGAAAGCCCATATCAGACACCATGAAATCATAATAAAGAGGTCCAAGCCTGCGATAAACGCATTTCAGTGGCATATAATGATTGATTCTGTCTGCCACAGGAACTTATTCCCTGCAGGCTTGGTGGCCCCCTTGACCAGCCATATTTTATTCATATAAATATAGATAGCTGTGCATCTTAGAGGCAAGCACACATGCCACATTCGCACCTGCAGATTCAATTTGGTTCTGACTTTGAGGGATATGCCACTGGCTCCCCTCACGCCTCCCCTCTCTCAACTCCTGGCTAGCAGCTATACATGAAACATTATGCAGATTTTTGTCAAGAGTAGGTCCGACTATGTTGGGGGAGAAATGAGTGTTGCAATGCTCACTATGCCTTTGACCTTATCAGCAGCCGCCTTAAGCTGGATACCTTGGCTTAATTTTAATGGATGCAGAACTATGCGAATTAGAAGGGATGGGGGCGGACGGGTGGGGTGTTTGTGTGTGCAGAGCTCGGTTACTGTGTGCAGCACTGAGCATACACTAGGAGAATGAGTGAATTTTTTCCTCCCTTTTCTGCATGTAGTGTTGGCTTCTTTTTGTCTATACATTCGTACATCTGCCATGTCCATTTAGCATCGAACCGGTGCAGCACGTTGCCACTTCTCCCTCGCTCAGCCGCCCACCACCCCCTCCCCCAAGGGCGCGTCTTGTCCAGGGAGAGGGGCTGAAAAATCTGAGACGGGGTTCCTGTGGTTAATTTAGAACATCGATTTTTGCATTAACAGCCGACGTGCCGCTGATTCATGGCCGCACAAGCGCGGATGTAAAGGTTTCCATCAGTTCGCTCATGGAATGCACGGGAACTTAGACACATGCTGCAAGTTTCATTATGCACAGACACACGGAAGGCTCGCTTTAATGGACTCTCGCTTACCTTTGAGAAAGTATAATAGTAAATCAATGAGGTGAAGGGCAGCGGGAGGGACGGTAAAGCCGTCCACCCGATACCGGATTTACTGTGAATGTATAACGAGCCTGATAACACTACATATTCTGGCCAGCTTAAGGCCATAAGGAGAATTTATTAAATAAAAAAATGTATGATTGTAACGTATACACTTAGTAACATCAAGCTGCAGGTCTTCCTCTCTCAGCCTCTGTGTTAAGCAGAAACTATAAAAAATACACAAAGAAATTCACAGTTATGTCATATAACTAAGTGATATACAGTACTTTAGGATGGCATTTGCCTCCTTACAGATTTATGCCGTTTTTACCTTTTGTGCCAAATTTATCAGTTTCAGCGAAAGATAATCAGAATAATTACAATAAAATCCGTTTTTGATCCAAATAAACATGGCCTCATGTGAAAAAGCATTTACTCCTTAAACCAGGAGTCTGCATCAAGTGTCTCTTTAGGCTCTTCAAAATAACTTTGGCTAAAAATAAAGATTTAGCAGTTTTTTTATTTTTTATTTATTTATTTATCCCCCCCTCCACATATTTGCATTTAATTTCTGCAAATGAAAAGTACTTGTAATACTTTTGCTAATCTCTTTTTCTGGTCATTTGAAAAAAAATAAATAAATCCACAAATATCAAAATCCCTTAGAATAAATGTGTCCATCCTCTTATTTATAGGTTCTGGGAAATAAAATGGGAGTGCTCTTAAAAATTAAAATTTCTACACTGTAGATATTTATCACAAATTCCAAGTTGTCTTTTTTCAAAAGCTAATGCTGCATTTGTGGCTCTGAATAAGATCTATTGAGCATCACTGGGGGCTTTTTTGTGCATGATGGTTGCAGACCCCCACCCTAAAGCTATTAACTGCTTGTGCCATTAATGGCAGCAACGATACACACCAAATGCTTTTACTGATTGGCAATACGTCTGTTACATCTCTGTGGGAGTAATTTTCAAATGCTTTTCACTGTGCAATAATAAAAAAAAACAGAATTTAAATTTGATGTGGTTCAAAAATGAACAGTATAATCAAATATCAAGAAATTAAATAAAAATTAGCTTTAGATTTTCTATTTCATCAGTACATTTGAACCATATTAGAAGTTCTTCATATTAAAATACTTGCAATTTCTATATTTTGCAAAATGCAGGTAGACTTTTTCCCCCATAACTGAACAGCTCCAGTCTGTAGCTCTATATTGCTTTGGAAGACATCCTCCCTTTGTGAAACACAGTGGACATTTAGCCAATGTAAAACAAAATAACAATAATTTGTTCAAACCTTAAAGTGTCCACTTCAAAACAAAAATGATAGAAAAAAATGGACGAAACAAAGAGATCCAGCTAGCTAACCCTTGGCTATTTTCTACAGCTTGTTTCAGCCGAGAAACAACCATTTCAAATTTCTGTTGGCAAATGTACTGAAATGTGCCATTTGCTTAAATATGAAAATTTTTGTTAATCAGGGTCAATTCTACAACTTGATTCATAGAGAGTTCAAATGGTGTCTTGTTGTTTATGAGCGTTAAGATGGAGTTGAACGTTAGGTGGACAGAACGGGGCCTCGTCTATCCATCTGAAGCTTTTGATTTACCAGTTGAATCTGTGCCCCAACCCTCAACTATGCTCATGAATTATCAATTATGACAAAGAGAACAGAATCCAGAACAAAAGGAGCTGAAATTAATTTGTTGGCTACCTGGACTCTGTCTAAGAAGAGTGCAGATTTTGTGCAGATGACAAGAATTTCTCCTTTAAAACTTTCTTTAGAGGTTTTCTTAGCACATCCCACTTTAAGGTGACCCCAGCACAGACCCAAAACTCACTGGAGGGACTTTACATCCCTTCTGGCCTGAGAATGCCTTGGGATCTGTAAAAACCAAGGAAATAACTCCAGCGTGGGGATTGGTTGAAATTCTCGCAAAAGAACGGATTCAGTCTTGCAGTGGTAACAAGCATTGTCGAGGGAATTAGGCCGACAGGAGTGTGCAGATCACAAGACAGAAACATGGATACGCAAGTACGAATGCAACGCCTGCATTCTCCATAGCTCATTGCCTGTGCAGGTCGTGATGCTAATGGCTAATAATGCTAATGTCGGGAGAAATTTTTTTTTAACCATCAGGGTTTAAATAGCAGAGACAAATGTGAGAAAGCTTAGGGGGGGAAGAAAGAGCAGAGATCTAAAAGAAGGCATTACCATAAGAAAAGCCGAACGAGGGAGCAAAAAGGCAGAACAAGAGTCTGAAAAAGAGGTGGGGGGTGACTTGAAGAAAACCTTCCAAGGCTTATTACCAGTGGATCAAAATTCCCAGTGAAGCATCCCCACAGTACATCGGTTGGTCTCCTGAAAGGAGGAGGCAATTCTGTTGTGCCCCAGTTTCCACTTGCGTATGACCTTTATGTCTTCCACCCAGTTTTACCACAGCAATTGTAATGCCTTGGCAGATGCGATACTGCCTTGTTGCCACTTAAACAGTGCAGGCTTCATAATCAGCTCCCCCGAGGGCAGGTGTGCCGTTCCTCTCAAAATTCCCCTCATCTGTGCCTGTCGTATCCCAAAGATCCGATGCGTTGTACCATAAAAGATTTTATTTTCACATGAGCGACAGGTCAACTCGCGACCATGTGCCGCATTGATGAGTAGCCAACCTGCAACACAGTAATCACCTCCATGTCGCCGCTTCAGTACACCTCATCCAAGTGCCGTGAAGCGAGGGAGAGGATTTATAACTCATTTCAATAAAGAGCACAAAACAAACAGTTCGGCCCGGCTGTTTGGCCGCCCAGACGACTCGAGTCGGGCTTTCCTGAGTTAGCACTGCAGAGTCACCAGGACCGCTGCTTCCTGCCCCCCTTAGCGAGCACACTCATTAATTTAAAGTGGTCATATCTCACTGGTCTCTAATCAAACTGTATTTGTGCCATTACTGTCCGCTGCAGCCCCAGTGTTAGCATAATGGAGGTGGCCTGGTGGGGATGCGAGCGAAGCGTTGCCAAGATGTGAATGGAAAAGCCTTTCACCTTGACAGCAGGGGTGAGCCTCTTAAAGGAAGCGCTGGCCAAGTAAGTGCGGCGCCTTCTCCAGATGGGAGCAAATTATCTGCAGGCTAAGAAATTATATTGTGAAAGTTATTAGAGGAATAACTTTGGAAAACAAATAGAAAAACAAGCATCAGGCCACAACACGTCAGCCTTGATGAGGGAAGAGCCCAGAGGTTTGACCTCTGACACATTATTTTAACTTAATCGTTAAAAAATATAATGATGAAACGATGGGCCTATGGACAGTTACATATTTCAATATGTTGCAGTTTACAAGTAGTGAGTTGGGCTAAATTTAAGGTTTTATTACATTACTGCAATAATGTTTGCATTTCTTTGAAAAAAAAAAAAAAAAGAGTAATGTTTCTCACTAATTTCAATTTATTTCCATGATTATGGCTTACAGCACATTGAAACCCAAAATGTGGTTTACTAAAAAGTACACCTATGCACAATATACACACTTAACTTGGAAAACAAGAAGTTTGATAGTTTCGTGATTTGTCTGTGTGGTGGCGGCTCAGGAAGCTCCGACTCCAGCCACAGTCCACGCTGCGTCACAATACCCCAAATTCTTGAATGGATCAGCTTTAGAAAGTTGCTGTTGTCTTAGTTGCTTTTGCAATTTTCCACCACAGTTTCTCCTTCCATTCAACTTTCCATTAATATGCCTGGATCCAGTACTCTTAACAACAAACTTCTTTAACAGTAATTTATTTTTTTTATTTTTCTTGTGCTGGGTGTGTAATACTTCTGCATTGAAGATTCATATTCTCATCTTGAGGAAAATACAGTATTTTAATTTTACATTTGCTTCGAGCCATAAACATCAATATTAACAGAAATAGAATGATATTAGAGGATATCACTTTGTGTGCAATGAGTCTGAGTTTCAGGGGGATCTGCAAAGTCATGCTAGCTGTCTTAGCTTATTGCTAAAGGTTGCTTTCAATAGGTGCTACCTTAAAAATGGTGTTTTTATCAGAAGCATGTCCTAATCCAAGTGGGTAAATATTATTTTTGGTCACATTTTTTATTTCATTTTGCAATTTATACAGACATAAAAGACATAAAAATAGAAATATAATTCACACTGCCATCCACATCATCATGTATGCATTAGTAAATTTACTTGGGAATCTTCCCCCGACTTCTCCCATCATAGCCGCTTTCCTAAAGCATTCATTCAGCCATGGTACAAAGCTCACTGACAACTTAAGACGTTGCTTTGTGCTCCATTCAACTTGATGCCTTCAACATCCTTTAAACCATAAAAATGGTGAGACACTAAATTTTAGTGGTTCTAAACCTGTGGCGTATTACGGAACCAGCTCATGCCTACTTGTAACGCTGATGCAATGACCCTGTCATTACAAAGACTTAAACCCTTTGAGGGAAATTAGCTGGAGAATTGATCTGACAAGTGCATTTTGCTTCACTTATTTCTTGCTCCTGGCAAAAAATATATCACAGCACAGCTGCTGCAGAGAAAGGTTTCATGCTTTGCTGATTTGGAGAGTATTGATTACGATAAAAATATATAAATCATCCTGCCCGTGAAGAATTTGTGATCCATTTATAAACCCAACAATGGTTCTGAGCGGTAACGGGCAGAATTCACAATCGGTTTCACTTTTGTCAGTTATTTCATTTGGTTATACATCGGAAAAAGGTACATGTTAAACATAATTCTTCTTTATTTTAATATTTGTTCTTCAAATGGTGCACAAGACAAACAAGAACCGAAAAAGAAAGCTCCTGCAGGCCATCAGTCCTGCATCTACCAGGTGAATTCAGCAATCAGCCAAAGCATTATAGCCTGACAGCTCAAGTGAATAGCATTGATCATCTTGTTACAGTGCACTGTTCTGCTGGGAAACCCTGTCTCTTTGACACATACCAGCCACTAAAAGATACAAACCTAGAAAAACTTCTCGGTGCCCGTCCCCCCGCGAGGCAGCGACATTCCCTGAAAGCTTCGACGATCGCTACAGCAACGGCACGACGAGGCAGCCCAAGGCAGCGCCCTGGCTTCAAGACTCCCCCGACCCCAATGTGATTGAGCGGTCACAGAACGTGGTCCCAGCACGCAGCGCTCAGCTCAATTTCCCTGTTCCGGACACGGCGAGACACCACCGGAGGCGCCTCCCTTACGCCCGGATGGGCAAGAGCTGTTTGCGCGGCGTGAGGGACCCTGCTCAGTATTACACTGGCTTTGTAGTTCTAGCAGATAGCTGCATGTTGGAGCGTTTGGCTCGTGAATATTTAGAATTTTGTTGAATAGTGTGTAGGCGTAGGCGTTGTGCCTTGCGACAGAATTCATTCCCCTTGAACTTTACCATATTTAACTTTATTACATTTTGTAGTTGGACAATACAGCTGAAAATGTATAGCATTTCATATTAGTTGATATTGACAATTACTGACTAGTTGTTTTATCCACAGTATTCCTTCCACGCTGCTGTTTTTTTATTTTTAAGCATTCATCAGGCATGATGTCAAAACCTGAAACTGCTGCTGCGCAAGTTCCTCAACAGGTTGTTGCTAGGTAACCAAAGAGCGAGTGAGTCAGTTGATGCCGCCAGCCTTGCTTAGCTGCCCGTGAGAAGTTGAGTGGCTAAAATTTTCCCTCTGCCTACATCCCCCAGAATGCTGTGCAGTTCTGGATTGGAGTTCAGTGAAATTGCTGAATATTCTGTCAGACAAATCTATTGATATTGATTTATTCTTCATCTCTAGGTTGCACTAGATTTTATTTAGACTGACGAGGGCCAAGCTTTTTACAGTTTTTTTTTTGTTCATCACTGTCTTTCCACTCGTGTTTCTTTGCGTTGCTCACATAAAAACCCAATTAAGTACTTTGGAGTTGTTTTTTGTACTGCAACCGTATAACAAAAGGTCATTGTGTATGAATGCATTAGCAAGGCACTGCCTGATAGATTTTAACACTTGTCCAATGCAAATCTATTCTGTCTATGTTGGATTTAAAGGCATCTATGAGTAGGAGGCAGTGTCAAATGCCAGTGGTTGAATCTACTAGTGTTCAGCAGACCCAGCAGCAATTCACACAGTTAAGGTTTCCTCAGAACAAACCAGATGCAAGGAGCTTGTTTCCTGTAATGTTCACAGGACGGGTTAATTCTGGCCAAAGTGAAAAAGCCCATGGGCTAGACCTGTCAGCCTCCTACTGTAATGGAGTTGCTTTAGAGTTCGTGGTTAGAGTGATTGCCCCCCCACTTTCCTCCCTCTGACACCTGGGAACTCGCGTTAGCTCCATGAGTGAACACCTTAGCCTGACCTATAAAAGGGCTCCCTAAACAAACGCTGCAGTTCAGCTTTAATGTGTTGGTGCAGGTGGAGATTAGGTTAGCAGAGACCCCGTCTCCAACGGGCTCCGTTACGTTTCCAGGTGCTGATTATGTATCTGTGGACCTCAGAAGATTATACCTGGAGGTTTTCTACGTACAAACGCCCAAGCATCCATCTTAGGATTCGATTTTCCCCCGGCCATATTAACCACATTTCTCCCTGTCAAACAGCTGCAGAGCCACTTACTGCCAAACACAGCGCAACATTTTTCCTCTTCCGCCAGGAGATCCTCGTTTTATCCGTTTCTTTAACTCGTTTTTGAATCACTTGTATTGCTTTTTTTTCTTTCTGCGTAACAACAGCCCCCCCTAAAATGCCACCGGGGGTTATTGTACAGCTGCTTAAACTAAGACGAGTTCCTCCTCTACAAGTCCTTTTGTCCTCCAGATCTTTCCACTCCCCCTCCCAGCTGACTTTGCCTCAATTACCGCCAACCGAGCAGCGGATTGTGGGAATTAGCTGTATAAGGCAGCGTTGCATAGAGCTGGGTGGGCTGTGACTGGACCTTCACTAATAGGTTTGTACAAGTCCACAGTCTCAGCAGTCACAGTGCAGGGCCTCTGGAACACAGACTGCCTCCTTGCCTGGCTCTGCATAATGTCATCGCCAAACACCAAATTATGCGCTCAGACGCCTGGAGACGATTTGGATACTTCAACTTGAACTGATTAAAGTGCACTTGAGTATGTGAACTTGTAGTTTATTGATATTCTAAATAGGGGTTGTAAAATCTGGGATCTGTGGCTTAAAACTTTCAGGTTTTAGTTGGTTGGGAGTGGCTCAGAATAGAATAGAATAGAATAGAAATATCCCTTACCATAACACAATGGGGGAATTTCTGTGCAACAGTAACGAAGTGACAAGTAATCACTTTTTATTTACATTACCTTAGCATGATATATGTAAATCTCAACATTTATATAGGAGGCATTAATGGGAAGTCAGAGGCAGTGATTCTCTCCGAACCAACATTTTGCTCCAGAGAAACTACAATTAAACCTCAAGTTAGCCATACGCCGTGCATATGTAGCTTTACATTTTTCTGTAATCTTAAAATAAAAATTCTAATCCTTAAAGCACAATTTGAGTGGTAATTATGTATGTTACGGATATGTTTGCATGAATCAGAAAACATTCAATTTACAGAGGAAAATAATTTGCAACTACTAATGAGAAACGGGATTATATTATGTTTTTAAAGGGATTCTTCAAAGCCATTTTTAAAATAGGAAAACGTTATGAACTACAACGTCGAGTAATTAATTGAATTTATCCTAGTTGATCAACATTAAAACCTCCACCACCTCATATGGCACATTGTCCTCTGGGTGTCCTAATCCAATCATGGATTTCCAGCACTCTACACAAAGCAGACGACAACCCAGGGCAAACCAAATGCTTCCTCTTTCCTAATCTCCTGCCATGTCTGAAAACCGCTACTGGCCGCCACATCATCTGCTTGTCCGTCCCTCCAGCCAGGCCAGAATCTGATGGTGTAATGTGACCCGCGGACCTCGGGAACAATTGATCTCCCCGCCCCAATTAACACCCCTGGCTAAGCAAACAATAGCACACCCTGCTAGAGCCACCTGTGGTGAACGCAGATTGTTGCCAAAGCAATAACAATTAAGCCCGCCACATTACGCTGCCGGCGATTGTTATTAGCGAGAAGAACAGCCAAAGCGAGCACAGGTGAGACCCGAACACTGTCGGCTGAATTACAGCATCTGTGCCGCGCTTTCAGGGTGCAGCTCAACCGCATAACCTACACCGAGGAGCGAGTGCAGAGGGAGAGAGGCTAAGCTCTGTTTATCAGAATGCTCAGGGTGTAGAAGCTTATTGAAGTGCCAGGCGCTCTTGAAAAATAATACCACCACCCCCATTGACCGCTCCCCTGAGCCCTCGTTCGGATTTCACTGGCTCCATGTCCTCCTCTGCCCATCCACACCAGAATCCAGCCGATGCTGGAATACAGCTCCAGGAATAAAGCGTTGGCTCGGACGTGGTAGAGGGGAGACATTTCTGCTGCCATCATATTTACCCGATCCTTACAACACACACCCACACACATACACAGTTCCCCTGTGGCCACTGAGGTGGAAACAGAACTGTTGATGAAATGAAATCGTTTCTCAAAGCTTCCTTCATTCCTCCCATTTCATCCCGTCTCTTTTTGACCGCTCCTTGTAATGCGGCGGCCCGATCTTTTAGGCCCAAAATATCACAAGCATCATCAAAACCATCCGCTCAGACTCACAGATGATAAATTGCATGCTGCACTTCAACCGTGGCGTGCGAGAGGCGGCCGATTAAAAGGAAACAATGAAGGCCCAACGTGCATCAAGAGGACGCGCTGCAGTTGTAGCTCTAGTTACTTCCTGAAACAATATCCTGTTCGATGAGCACTTTTAAGCTCAATTAACAGAACGTCATAATGTTCATCATCTTTAAGACACTTATGAGACGTGTTTAATTTTAACAGCATCCACTGGCAAAGGTTTCATGCCAAAAAACATTTACTGATAATCAGAGAATACAATCATAAAATCGTAACGCTGCAGCAGAGTAGTGGGTAGGTAATAGGGGTGTAATGGTAGGCATAAATCACAATAAGGCACATTCCTCATTTCATGGTCATAGTTTACTACATTAGCAAAATCAAGCAAATGCAAAGCATCTTCGCACTGGCTTCAAAAAGAAAAGGTGTTAACAAAGAGGGCAATTTCTTTTTGAGAACTAAACGATCCCTTGTGAGTTTGTTCCATCCTGCCTAAAACAACAAGGCAGTCAACCATTATCAACTCTTACAAAGTTGAGAAAAAAAAAAAATTGCCAAATTCCAAACTCTTAAAAAATATGTCTGTTTGGTTTTTATTTGGCATTTTATTGGCCATAATCTCATTTAAGCCTCTTGTGGTTTGACAAATGACATCCAAGTTTTATGAACCTCAACTCAGTAAAGAATCAATTCGTTCAGGTTTTATCAGACAAAGCATTTAGAATTCTAAAATTTGCAGTAATCCCAGAGCTCAAAATCTCCAAGAAAGACACCCGAGTGGCGAGGACTTTCTTTACTCTTTTGTAATTCGTAGTAGTAGTAAAATTTAACATTGATTTTAGTGCACCTATATGGCTAAGTCGCATAAATAAACGATTTGGGAAAGTGCAGATTCAGCACGGGAACTTTTTCTGCACTGGTGTTTCAAAACTAATGTGCAGGATTACAAAAAAGGGTCATTCTTGCATTGGTTTGGTGTGGCGGGCTTTGGAGATCTTAATCCATTTTAATTATTTTTTGGCGTACTGGGACCAGTAAATGAAAGGTTTATAACCTTAATACGAAAAGCTCTTTGTGTCATGTATTGTGAGTACTGTTGCATTCATAGTAGTCAATATGTTAAAATTGTAGATGCCAGGTTAGCTGGATTAAATAAGTAGCCAACTGGCATCCGTGGTATGTATTTTAAGATAGAAACACTAATACTAATACTACTAATAAAACAAGTAAGACATTGCAAGAAACAAACATGTTAAAAAAACTTGAGAAATATTTTCTTTTACATGTCAGATGAACAAAATCTTGGACTTTATGGCTCGGTTTTATTACATGTGGTATAAAAGGTCCAATGACTGGTATTCTGTTAAAACCACTCAACTGTTTTCATATAAACTCCTGCGTAGCAAGTCTACCATCCCCTCACAAGCAATCTTCCAGTAGAGACAGCTTGAAAGGAAAAAGTAAATACTCAGTTTTCTTCTCATTAATTCTCTGCAATGATAACTAGTCATAGAAATGTATCTAAAAATGTAAACATTTTCAAAAACATTTGGTGAATAAATGCCTATGTGTAAATAGAAAAATACCAATTTCTATAAAAGTTGCATCATTACAGTAATGCTCATGTTTTTTTTTGTAAAACTAACATACAAATTATGCACAGTTTGATTTTGTTAAAAAAAAAAAAAAGTACCTTATTTTAGAATGGCAAGAATGGCTTCATTTCTTGAACTAATTTGCTACAATTATTATATAAAATCAGACCATTTCATCATCAGCAGCAGCTAGTGTTGTTTCTGGTTAAAATTTTTCGACCTTTTTCTCCACTTTGTGGAAAATATTTCAAAAACAGTATTGGTTTCAAAGAAAACTTTTTCATTTAGAAGAAAAAGTCGTTGAGGAACTTGGAATATTTTTAGTCTTTTGGCAGTTTTTGATGCATCTTTTGAGCCAATTTTAATAATCCAGTTTATGTAATATTTTAATGTACCAATCTCATTAACTTCTTGGCAACAAAAAAGTCCTTTGTACCAAAAAATTAAAATTAAACAAAACTGGTTTAAACGGTGTAATTTAAAATCCTTTTGTTTAAAAATGTTTCTCTAGTTTTCTGCTTTTGTCATCACAGAACTGATTTTCAATGCATGAATTTAGAGGACAAAGCTCGCTCCAAGGTGTAGGGTTTCCCACATGCCACTGACCTGTAACATGAAGGCATGGCGGCTTGCATTTTTCTTTACATGTGTCCCAGCTCCCACACAGCTGATTGAAAGGGCTTAATTGTCTCCTGGGAAGGTCATGCGTTTCTGTAGAGGGCTGCTAATGAATCATTTATTTGATTCAGGTGTGTCAAACATGAGAAGTGATGCTGCTTTCTATTGCTCTTAATGAAGGCTAAGCTTTGACTAAGAAATACAAATTTCCCGCAGCCCCAATAATACAAGGTTGAATTCTTTTTTGATTTAGCATTGAATTTGACACCTAGGGACAGTCTTGTGTGTTTTGTCTAGTCATTGTTTTAATACCAGGAGTTAATTACAGCCTGAAAACGGTATTTCCTTCTTATACTTCAATGCCAATGTATGTAGATTGTAGAAAGGTACTTAAGAGATGTCTAGCACTTTTGGGTTCTCTACTTGAACACATTTTAATTTAAAATTACAAACTTTCTCAGGTTACATGTTGTTTGGGGATGTTTTGTATTCATTCTGAACATCTCAATATATTACTCTCAAACTTCTTTTTTAGTGATTGGCTCCATCTGTAACCTCAAACTGGCTCGATATTGGAACGTAGGACCACATTACAGGTGTACCAGTATTTGCTTAAAATGCAAATCTGACTTCAGATCCAGCTAAGCATAGATTTCAAGTTTTCTAGAAAATAAAATGAATTAAACCACCACCAGTGTTTGATTTTGGCAAAAATCAAAAATACTGATGGGTTAAGTTATGACATGGAAAATCAAAACATAAGACATTTCACATCAATATAAATTAATGTAGAGTCCTTTGTTGAGCATTATTAGATTTGTGGCCTCTTATATTTAACCTCTAGTTGTACTGCAGGGACAGTTGTTTCTCAACAACAAAAGATTAATCAGGCTTGAAAATATAATAAAAGGAATAACAATGATTATTCCCCACCCCAGTTATTATATTCTATGCCATAAATTAAATGAACAGAAGCCTCCAAAAAGTTTGGACAATGATATTCACAGGAAGCGAATGCAGCCGAGAGGCCGTTCCTACTCTCATTGCTCTGTGGATGTATGATGAGAAGAATAATTCTTTTACTTCTCGTTCAGTTACTATTTCTCATAAAATACACTACTAAAATCAGTAGAATATAGATTAGTCTTTTGGTAGTCCAGTAAAAGTTGAACAGTTACAACCATACCATATTTGGCTGGATAAATCATCTCATATCTTTTGGTATTCAATATTCATGGTTTCATTTTGCATGTAAATTGCGACTCTGTCTTTATTGCTTGCTATTCTTCAATAACATTTGCCCACCAATGCACCGTGTGACTTTCACATATATTTAGAGAACAGCATGAACATTTTAACTTTTAAGCCTGCTATTTCTGTGTCCTCTATCAAACAGGTGCAAACTGCATCTGGGTCAAAAGCTTTGTTTGCCTTTACCACCGACCCATCTCATCATGTTTGTGATTGGATGCCCATTTACTTGTTGCTATAGCGACTGGCATATTCCAGTGCAGCTTCCCTTAAAGGCCTGGTGGTTTAGCCCTCGGATGTTTGCCATTTAAGAATCTTAATGAGCTTTCTCTTTAACTAATATTAGGCTCACACCCCCTCCCCCTCCGGACGTCAAGACCGAATGGCATACCGTAAGGGCACATGCGGTACATCTCAGAAATTAAGCCTAGAAGGTCAAGCAGATATGAATCCATTGTTCTAAGTCTTGAAGGGAGCATGTATAAATGTCAACATGCATCAGTGTGCCTATAACAAATGTCAATATGCCCAAATCCCTCTCTCATGACATTCCTTGACCACCTCCATTGTTGTGCAATACTAAAAGCTCTTCTTCTCTCTGTCTTGTTTGTTTTCTGCAGGTAGGAATGGACTGGGCTGTGGAATCTCAAAGCTACTGAAGACAATCAAAGAGGGCATTTATCTTTAAGTAATACTAACATATAGAGTAAGATCTATCCTTTTTTTTTCCCTTTTTATCCCCATCTCCTACTTTTTTGTTAGTATTGCAAGTTTGGCTCCAAACCCTTAAACTGGAAGCTATATTGCATTATTGGCCATTACATTCAAGGACACCCATACAGCAGGACATAATCCCCCCGCCCCCCGAGGGAACCCAGTGGTGGTGGTGGGTTTGGTGAGGGGGCTGAGTCAGTCGCCTCTGCAACAGCAGCAGCAAATGAGTTGTTGTTCATGAAGGCAACAACTGAAAACCCTTTATCTAAGAAGACCAACTTCTGTTGGGGGGGGAAAAGGTTCAACATGAAGGACATGTCATTTGTTGATTGCCTCTTCATTGGGTTGGCTATGGCGTCTCTTGCCGTAGCCACTGAGGTGGGACCCGATTGCCCGAAGCTTTGTGTGTGTGAAATTAGACCCTGGTTTTCTCCTACTTCAGTGTACATGGAGGTGCAGACGGTGGACTGTAATGACGTGGGACTCTTTAGACTGCCAGAAAGATTACCAGTGGGCACACAAGTTCTATTACTGCAAACAAACAACGTTGCCAAGATTGTCAAACCTTTGGATTACTTGGCTAATATCACAGAGATAGACCTATCACAAAACAACCTATCTTCTATCAGTGACATCCATTTGGGAAATCTTTCTCAGCTGGCATCCCTTCATCTGGAGGAGAACTGGATAGAGGAGTTACCTGAGCGATGCCTGTCCGACTTGGTTAACCTGCAGGAGCTCTACCTGAATCACAATCTCATCTCTTCTATTTCCACAATGGCTTTTCAGGGTCTAAGTAACCTGGTGCGTCTTCATCTCAACTCTAACAAGCTGAAGGTTATCAAGAGAGAATGGTTCGAACCCATGCCGAATCTGGAGATCCTAATGATTGGTGAGAACCCGGTTCTCTCCATTTACGACCTGAACTTCAAACCTCTAGGAAACCTCCGTAGTCTTGTTCTTACCAGAATGAACCTGTCTCAGCTACCCGACAATGCACTCACAGGCCTTGATAACTTGGAGAGCATTTCATTCTATGATAATATTTTTCCAGAAGTCCCTCATTCAGCCCTGAAAAATGTTAAAAATCTAAAATTTTTGGATCTGAATAAAAACCCAATATCCCGGATACAAAGAGGAGACTTTGTCGATATGCTGCATCTGAAAGAACTGGGGATTAACAGCATGCCAGAGCTAATTTCCATAGACAGCTTTGCTCTTAATAACCTCCCTGAGTTAACTAAAATCGAAGCCACCAACAATCCTAAACTCTCCTACATCCACCCCAATGCTTTCTACAAACTACCACGACTGGAGACCCTCATGCTAAACGGCAATGCTCTCAGCGCCCTCCACAGGATAACCGTTGAGTCTCTTCCGAATCTCAGAGAAGTCAGCATGCACAGCAACCCTATCCGCTGTGACTGTGTAGTTCGCTGGATGAACATGAACAAAACCAACATTCGCTTCATGGAACCAGATTCATTGTACTGCGTAGAACCTCCAGAGTACGAGGGCCAACATGTTCGACAGGTGCACTTCAGGGAGATGATGGAAATCTGCCTGCCGCTAATATCCCCTGAAAGTATGCCGGGACACATAAAGGCACACAAAGGGAGCTCTGTGTCACTCCACTGTCGGGCATTTGCTGAACCGGAGCCAGATATTTACTGGATTACCCCGTCTGGTACCAGGATCCTGCCGAATTCCATGTCTAACAAATTCTATATGCATCCAGAAGGAACATTCGACATCTACGATGTATCCGAAAATGAAGCAGGTGTTTACACCTGTGTCGCGCACAATCTGGTTGGAGCTGACCTCAAATCTGTTTCGGTAGAGGTGAATGGATATTTTCCTCAACTTGCAAGTGGATCCCTGAATGTTGTGATTAAATCAGTGGGGACAAACTTCATCCTTGTTTCCTGGAAAGGTCATCCTGGCTCTTTGGCCCCCAGTATTAAATGGTACACACTATCTGATCTGAATCATCCCACAACAGCGTTCAGCACCAGGGTTCCTTCGGACATCCAGCTTTACAACCTCTCTCATCTCCACCCTGCCACCCAGTACAAAGTTTGTGTGGATATCCGCAGCATCCACTACGACCATGACACCAAATGCATCAATGTCACCACTAAGGGATTAGAGCTGGCAGCCAAGGACACAGCAAAATGGGATGCGGCACTAATCACTGTCTTTGGAGTGCTCTTGGCAGTGGTTTCATTGGCATGTCTGTTTTTTTATGCGTCTCTGAGGAACCGCTACTTTTATGGGAATATAAGGAGATACGACTCCAAGGCATTGCTTACACCAGTGGAAGCTCCTGGGCTGCACTCTTCTTTCTTTACAAAGCTTTGGGATTCGGGTAAGAGTGTGCCGAGCGGAGTGGAAGTTAAAGCCACAGTCATAAATGTATCTGATAATGCCTTTTAAAAAATCCAGCTGTGGATGGAGTCTCATACTAACTACAGATAATGGACAATGCCATAAGCAGGGGTAGACGAACTTATGCTTTCAAAAGCATACCTGTGGCTAAAAACCCCAGCTCAAACACACTGGCAAAATTTATAATTATAAATGGGATGAAACACTTAACAGGACTAAATGGCATCCCGCCCGACGCGGTGGCTTTGTGAACCTTACACGGAACCAAGCCGTCGTCAACGGGAAAGGGTCTCTACTGCAAAAACACCAACTCGAGCTCAAATTCACCCAGAAACGCAGGCAGAGAAAAGGAAGCCGAGACGAAGACGGTGGCCAACTCTCTTGTAATTGACTGTTAAATGTGTTCAGAATCGTGGAACTGTCCGTGTGGTCCCAAGCAATACCGTCTGTGCTTTGTCAAACATCCATAGACGAGTTAGAGAAACAGTAATAACACCTGTCTATTATGGGAAAGGAGATTTAGTAGAGTAGACGAATACCAGTGACTATGGTGTAAGCCTTTTGATGAACTATACCCCATTTTTCTATTTAAAAGATGGATTCTTGGTTTTTTTTTTTTTTCTTGAAAATATTGTTATATTTTCTTTTTTGTTGATGTAATGACAAATCCTCTGTATGTGAAAAGTTTAAATGGGTTTTAAATTAAGGAGAGGAGCAAACTACTTTTGATTACAGCTTCACATTAAGCTTAATGAAATTCAGCTATGAAATGAGTGTCTAGAGAGAAGATTTGCCAAATGGCTGTTTATGCTTTGTAGTTCTCATTACGACGATGACTGGGAGACAATGCGGATACATTCAACTAAAACTAATATGAGAGGTTGATTAAAACTGAAGTGAGTGATGCGCTGTCTCTTGAAGGAGTGGTTTGCTAAATCCTGGTAAGTGCCTACAACAAGAACTACATGAAGAAAGGAGGAAGAGGAACTGAGGAAATCTGTCAACCACAGCAAAACATGATCATGCCATCATTGCAGAATCAGAAACTATACTCCCAGTATGTTTAGTGGAAATACTTTCTCAGTATTTTTAGCATACATATTTTAAGAAAGCATTTTGTTATTGCTTTGGGTGTAAAGTCAAAAAGCCATTTTTATATTAACTGTATTATATGTGATCAATGGGCACAACAAACTAATCGAGAAAAGCGCTAAGAAAAAATAATAAATGTCATTGTTTCTTTTACAAACAGTTGTCTTTGTCTTTTCGTGTCTAATTATCAGTGGGAACTGGAATAGTGAAAAGCATGTTGTGTCTTCATTTGTAACTTATTACAGTTTAGTATGCAGAAGAAAATATGAAAATAAGCCATGCTATGTCAATTTTCTGACTTGTAAGAAAGTGGTCAGCCCTCATGATCTGTAGGCACCATCCTCCTGGTGAACTTGTAAAGATAAAGGAGGTACATGAAATGGATGGAAGTGGCTAATTTAGAATAGACATTAGAGGGCGTTAGTAATGACATCATGAGTAGGGCAAGGGTGTTAAACGCAGCTTCTTTAACGCCCAACAGTTAAAACAGACAGTGAAGGTCAGTAGACCAAGAAGGTGGCTTATCGACATACTGGGAAGCAATAACAGAACTTGAAGGTGGAGTTTGATAGCCTAATTGCTTGTTTCCTTCAGCTGTACAGCATATGGGGCTGTAGGGATGGCCACCGGCTCTGCAATGGACGCACACTTGGAAGTTTCATCCGAGCAAAATCACCCATAGGGAGAACAATTGTGCTAAGCTGACATTGTGCCTTACTAAAAATGGGATCGGGAGACAATTGCAGATGACCTCAGATTGTATGTCACAAAGCCACACTGTATGAACCTCCAATTACTTTGAAGTCCTGTCGAGGCTTTCGAAGTACGAACTCTACCCTCCCAGTCAACTCTATTGGCAGCAAAACATTTCGTCCTCTGTTGCTGTCAACTAGGTTCAGCTAGTGCTTATCACAGACATCTGCTCATGAGACTAGATTTTTGTGACAAAATAAAATTTGTCAGTGAGGGTCCAAACAACTCATGTTCATGGATGCGGGCTTTGCAGCAAGACCCTCACCTTGACCGCCAGACGCCTCTTTTGTCTTGTAACTTTTGTGTTACTGTGTTGATTGACTGTTTAAGTTTAGGGAACTGCTTATAACAGGGTTTGCTGAGTTTGTGGTGCCACCATTTATGTTTTTTGTGCCTATTTTAGACTTGGAAACGTATACATATCTATTACAAGCTCACATTTTAACAAAAAAATGACGGCTTTAATTGACCACTCCTTCTGAGAACTCAACTAGGTGTTATTTTTGTGTGTGTACCCGTGAGCGTATATTGATAACGACCAACAACCAGAAACTACAGGTCCAAGGACTTGAACTGGATGGTCACACTATAACCTTCACAGGAAACAGAAAACACTGCAACAGAGGACCAGAAGTCATTAGTTGCCTCATTAAGTACATGTCCGTCCTTCTAGCTGGTCTGAATATAGACACTGTGCTACAGCTACAACCGTTGTTCATGTTTAGAAAGGGACACTGTGTCCTGTTGACAGAATTGGAATGAGCAAAGCCTGAGCTTTAGGACTCACTTTTTATTTGTCTCGCTGAATTATCCAGCACACAGAACATTTCACATGAGAAAGCAAAGCATGATGAATGGCTGTCAGAGGCAGAGTGACACTGTGGATTTATCAAACAGGACCTAACACTCATACATCAGACCAGCCTTCAGCACCGCGGACTCAAGGCTTTTAGAGCCAAGCCATCTGTCAAAGACAAAGGGAGTTAAAATATGACATACTGTGGTTCTCAGGTAACGCTCAGGTCAGAGTCAATCCGACTGCTCTGCAAACAGATGTACAAAACCATATGCAGAGTGTAATAAGGCTGAGACCAAAACTTCCATGAATATGATCAGGTTTTCATGGGGCAAAAACAAAGTAATTCAAAAGTGAAGGGAGTCAAAGAGAAAAAAAAACACACACCCACTCAAATGGATTATTGAAAGTTAATGTATTTTAGTGACTCAGGTCACTAAGTGAAACACTTTATCCACATATTTTACACAAAGCCTGATGATTTTAAGCCTTTAAAACATTTAAATTCAGAAAAGTGACTGTGTTAATGAAAAGCATGTCTGCTTAAACAATTTTCATTCTCAAAAGGTACATTAATCTAACAAGCATTCCTCATTGGAACACATTCTAGTTAATTGAACATGAGCGTATTCAATTGCTTCCAAAATCATCTGACAATTATGAACTTTCCAAGACATGGCCATTCATCTAAACAGAGACGGAGCATTTATTAGAGAAACAGTTGGTAACTCTACAGGAGCTGCAGAGAACCACTACTCATGTCACAGAGTTGGAGTGCGCTCCAGAAACTGGATGTTTTGGAAGAAATGACAAGACGTATTGAAAGAAATTCAAAAGTTGTCCAATTTCAAGCTTAAAACAAGCCATGTGGATTTAGTCAGCAAAAAAGTGCCATGGAAGAATTGGAGAAGGCCAAGATTGTTTTGAAAGTAGCAAGTGGAGGTGGTAAAAACAAGCTGCTGGAGTGTTTTTGTTTTGCAGGGACATTGGTGGAAGTTGATCAAATGTACTAAATATAGTGCAATGCTGAAACAATATGTCAGCAAGGGAGTTAAGTATTGATTCAGCTGGGCTGCATGTAAATCACCGGCACACTTTCTGTATTTGCAACATGTTAAAAACCACATATTTTCCTTTCACTTTGCAATGATTCACTCACTGATGTATGACAAATACTTTGAAATTTTGCCGTTATTACGTGACGAATGTGATGAACGGCAGAACGGTACAAACAGGCTCTTAGGGAACATTCAAAATTGCTCATTTTTGTGTCGCAGAAACTCAAGAGAAAAAAAGAACTACATTAAATCATCTCAACAACTAAAACTACAGAAGTGTTGCAGCTTCAGATCCCCTCACTGCACGCTCAGAGGAACACAACATGACAGCCAGCAAGGCCACGAAATGACTTCATCAGCCCACATGTTTGTTGTGATTAAAGGAGCTCGTGCACACTTGCCATATTTTTCCTTTTATTATTATTATTTTCTTCACAACTGGTGATTTGATTACATACATGACTGAATAAGCCGAGTGTTATCTCGTTTCTCATCTCCCTCGCTGTCTGTCCCATTCGCACATATTTCCGTGATCTCTTTGTTTTCTCTCACTGCCGCCTGCAGCTGTTTATACTCCTCCTCCACTGACAGCCATTTTACTTTGACAGATAGGTTGGCTTCTTTTGTTTGAATTCTTGCATTCACACCATCTTATATTAGAAGAAGAAGAAGAAAAAAATACCTTTGGGGATTAAAGTTAAATCCCTGCCTGAAAAGGACCGCGGAACTGTTGTGATTTAATCCGCTCCGAGGAAGCAAAAATTATGTTTCTCACTGAATCTTCAAATATTTAACCCACCTGATTCTGTTTAAAAGAAGCCATCTGCTGAGAGGCAGATATCGGAGCTCACTCTGAGGCTTTAGAGACGAACGTTCCTGCTCCTGCTGGTGGTGAATTAATTTTAATTTTGCAGGGATCGTTGCGAGGCAGGCTGAGATTTCATGGTGAAGTTCACAGAAAAAGGAGGCGCGGGTTTAGGGTAGATTCATTTATGTTAAAAGTTCAATGACCACCATATAGATTCGATTCAATTGTATATTCTGGCATTTTTGACTTTATTCATTTCATGACATCAACTCATTTTCACTTCTGCTTTTGCCCTGGAAAAACATATCGCTGCCATGTTTTACATGTTATCAAAAGTGAACTTCTGCCTTTATTGTTCACGCTACTAATTAGTTTAAGAAGGAAGTAAATATTTATTAAATTATTTAAATTTAATCAAACGTCTTAGTCATTAATGTAATGTTCCAAATTGGGTAAATCTTGAGAAAATGTGCTATTTTACTTTGTTAACCAATTCAAACTAAATATTTTTGATTAAACTCAATAGAAACAGACTAAGGAACTGTTTATGTAGAATTAATTAGGTTAGGCTTGATCAAACTAAATTAGCTCTTCCAAATGTTGGGTTTAAAGGAATTACAAAATTAAAAAGCAATTACTTAATTTAGTGACGTCAGGAGTTTATCACCAGATTTGCTATGGTCATAGTGCTTTGTCGTCGTTGTCCGTCACTCCACAAGTAGTAAAGATGTTCAAAATGTTGGGGTTTTTGCTACTAAGCTCAGAGGCAGAGGCCTTTGTTGATATTGGTCCCTCTGTAATAATATTTTTTCTACTCGGTATTCAAAATGCTGACAGAAAAAGTATTTAAATCTAATGATTCTCACAGTTAGCCTTATGAGATCATTATTATCCGACTCCATCACACAACGGGGCACAACTCAAAAGCTACTTCCTCTCGTCCTTCAAGTCTGGCTGAGTCTCATACAGAGACACAACACATGCTCAAAAACTCACTGTTTCATAATGCTACCTTCAGGCTACGTCACCAGACGAGCTCATGGAAAAACAGCAACCGATTAGCGCGCTTTATAAGAGAGCTAATGTTGATGTGTTCTTTAATACTGTAAGATATTGTTACAACTTGGTTATAAAATGTCATAAGCTTTGTGGTTAAAGGCATTTGCTAGAGCAAGAATTTCATTTCAGTTTGTAAACATCTTTAGCTAGCTTAGCAACAGCGCTAAACTTAATGTCACATTTGTCGATATTCTGAGCTTCTTCTTAGCTGTGATAATTGAGGAAAAAGATTTAGATGTCACCTTAGAATCCATTCTGACGTAAAGTTACTATTCCTTTCTTTTTTTTTTTTACCTTCATCACCAACTAATTGTTATGTTTTGCGCTTCCTTTTAGTATTGGAGGACATAGAGAACCAAAATTATTTCATGTTTTAGTAAAGTAGATTTTAAAGATCTACTTTACTAAATGAAAAGTGAAATGAAAACGATTGAAATGTAGCAAATTTTAGAAAGTATTCAAATCACTTATACTAGAGGTAAAGGTTGAATTCTAACTGATCTGTGTGACTGAGTGAAAAAAGCCAAAAGGATAAAAGTGAAAAACACTTGTGAACAAACAGCAACATGATGCTGGGGCAAAATGTAAAAATGTTTGCACTTTTGCAATTCTCAGCATCAATATACTTTACTACGACGACTAATTTCTTGTATGCACTGCGGGATGGCACTGCTTAAATAATG